ATATAAACCCCCCCAGCAAAAATGGGGTGTTGGGAGATTTCTCCCAACACCCATTTTTGCTGGGGGGGGGGGGTTTAAATCTAAAACCCATAGTCCCTAACAATTGATACCTACTAATGGGACTCCGAGAAGATGTCATAATTTTGCTATAATGGGCTGTAACCCCAATTCGACCTCAGTCTTGCAGCAGCTCCGGGCTGAGAAAAGTGAAACTCTAGCAAGTCTCCAGAGGGTGGCGCACGAGGCCGGCTGACAGTCAGGAGCTGGCAACGGGCTCGCGCTCCAGGCACGCGCCCCAGCCCTCCAGCATCCACCCAACTCCCCCATTTAGTACGCGAGTTTACCTCTAGAGGTCATCAGGCAGGATTTACGACTGGACAACAAAAGCACGTGATATGAAGTCGTACCCCATATTTGGGTGCCTACGTAGGAGGGAACCAAGTACTTGTCCCAGTCATTTCCATAATTCATCATAAATTGTGCAAGGGTGCTATAGACGCACCAAAAAACGAAGCAAAGAGCCACAAATCAAGGCCCCCCGATTAAAAAAAAAAAAGCCAACAACAACAACAAAAAACCCCTAACAAGCCCCAACAACAACAACAAATGAGCTCCTATTTTGTAAACTCATTTTGCGGTCGCTATCCAAATGGCCCGGAGTACCCGTTACATAATTATGGAGATACGAATGCCGTGAGCGAGCAATTCAGGGAATCGGCCAGCATGCATTCCGGCAGGTACGGCGGCTACGGCTACAATGGTATGGATCTCAGCGTCGCCCGCTCTGCTTCCAGCCACTTTGCGCCAGGGGGGGCCACAGAGAGAGCTCGCGGCGGCAGTTACCCCTCCAGCGCCAGCACCAACGCCAGCGCCGCCACCCCCGACGCCAGGTACGCCAACCGGGCAGCGGCCGCTCACTCGCCTCCGCCTGAGTCGTTGCCTTGCGCCGCCGTGGCTGCCTCGCCTGTCAGCGGCGACACTCATCACGGTGGGGGGAAAACCTCCACCGTTAACTCGACCACCAGCACTTCGTCCACGTCCAGCGGCACCGCCAGCGCCGGCGGCAGCGCCAGCACTAGCAGCAACGGCAGTGGCAGCACCAGCCACCTGGGCAGAGAAGGGCTTAGCACGTCGCCGGTCGCCCAGGAGGATCCTCCCGCCAACAGCGAGCAGGCGACCTCCCAGCAGAACGACCAAAACGCAGCGCAACAGGGTCCCCAGCCCCAGATCTACCCTTGGATGAGAAAACTGCACATAAGCCATGGTAAAAGCATGCCCGGTTTTCTTTATATGTAACCTAATGCAGAAGGTCTTGAGGCAGGGGAGGGGGCCAGGGAGCCGTGGGACACAAGGCTGGCCAAAGGGAAGCTAGGGGGGCAAGAAAACTTCTTCTCCTTCCACATCTGTCTCTCGCACGGGCGCCCCATGTTCAGGTGGTCTATCTCTCTCTTGAGGAAGCCACAAGCTCTTCCCACCCTCACCCCCCTTTGGAAAGGACAGCGCAGCTGAAGGCCGGTGGAGGACGGAAACCGGGGTAATGTGAGGCAATCTCTCCTAAAGACTCTTTCCCCAGGACTCCAGGACTGGGCGGTTGAATGGAAATGGTGGGAGTGAGCGAGCGAACCAGCTTGAATAGTGCGTGTCAGCTTCGGTAATTTATGGCGAAGACTGTCCAGTGAAAACACCGTTACTAATTATATCCAAAAAGAAGTTGAGGAAATAGTGTGTGTGCGTGCCTGTGAGTGTTTGGGTAAGAGGCAGGAGGGTGAGAAAAGTAGGGGAAACTTAGGAGAGGCTAGAGGGAAGGGTCTCAGGGACGCTAGTTCTGCAGTCCTTCAGCCTCGGTATGGAAATAATTCCTACTCCAGCCAGAGGACTTGACTGACAAATCAAGTGTGTTTGAAATGAAAAGTGAACTGGGTCTGGGACCAGGCTGAGGGAGTGTGTTAGTTTTTCTTCTATCTGATAAGCAGATAATCGGGAAGTAAGTTCTTTAGAAAACTTACGCACAAGTAGAGACCCGGCTGAAGAACAGTTCCAGGCGAACTGCGTGCTTTCCAGCTTCCGGGCTGGGATTGAATTGACCAGCCCTTCATTAGGAGAGTCAAAGGGGAGGTTGTTTAAACTTTACCAGGCATGAATTACTTGAGGAAAGGGTTGTGGGGGAGGACACAGGGGGGGAGGGAAGCGGAGGAGGAGGAGAGAAGGAGGAACTTGTTGAGCCTTTCCTTCAAATCAACGTACTAACAAGAGAAAGAAATTTGAGGGAGAGGAAACGCAAGGAGCCAAAATGAAGGGGGAGGATATGTCCCTTTTGCCACAGTCTAAACCGGTTCCCTTATTATTTTCTTTTCCCCTGTTGCAGACAACATAGGGGGGCCCGAAGGGAAAAGGGCTCGGACTGCTTACACCCGCTACCAGACCTTGGAGCTGGAGAAAGAGTTTCACTTCAATAGGTACCTGACCCGCAGGAGGAGGATTGAAATAGCACATGCTCTTTGCCTCTCAGAGAGACAAATCAAGATCTGGTTCCAAAACAGGCGTATGAAATGGAAAAAGGATAACAAGCTGAAGAGCATGAGCATGGCAGCTGCAGGAGGAGCCTTTCGCCCTTAAGAGAGATATGCCAGCCCTGTTTCTCCCCTCCCCAGCCCCCATCCCGGAGCGGGAAAAACAATACAAGTACAAAAACACCACAACAATTCAATAGTATTATATAAATGCTGACCCTGTGTAGGCGCGTCAGTATTCTCTTTGCTTAACGTCCCTAGAAGGGCGAATCAACCCTCTGCTGATGTATCTTAATAATTATGAGCCTGTTTAATTGAACCTACCTAGTGCGCGGTGTGTGTAGATCGGCTTCCCTGTGCATTTCTTTGTCTTGAATAGCTTTGTCTTTTTTTTTAAAAAAAGTAGATGTTTTAACTTATTTATATGAAGCAAGTGGCGTTACTTGAAGTAACTGTAATAACAGGAAAAAATAGTCCTACGCAAACACTTAAAAAAGGAAAGGAGAAAGGCTTTCCTTCCCTTCCCTTCCTTTCTCCCTCTTCAGTCTGGTTTAAACCCAGTGTTTTTCTCTGTGTTGTTGCTGTTGCTGTGCTTAACTATGCATGTGTGTTTGAACGTGTCACTGTATGTATAACTCCAAGCTGTGGCCAAGATTTCCAATCAGAAAAAATACTACCTAATTCCTGTGTCATTAATGGCTGTTGTAGAGGTGAAATAATGAAAAACAAGCTGAACTTGTCCAAACGTGTAGTGAATAGTGAATCTGTGACGAAAACTGTGATTCCAGACAGTATGTCCTTGCTGTGCCTTTGTATATGACTTTTTGCACGAACTCTTAAAAATGGCTTTTATTAAGGGCAGCTTCGGAAAAGTATAGGGTTTGGGGGGGGGGAGCTGTTGTTTTTGTTTTGTTTGTGGACAAAGTTACAAATAGAGTCAAAGTTTGGCTGTTTGAACAAAAATGTGATTTTTTTTTAAGAAATGTGGATTTTTTTTAACTGACTGGAAAAATAAACTTTCTTTTATAAGGATCTTCTCCCCCTTTTCTTTCTATTCTGTCTTTTGCCTTTTGAGGGGGAGCTGGTCTGTACCCTACAGAGACTCATACCTTGTTCCACATTTAGTCAGGAGATTAAAATTGGAGACAAAACTGTAAACTGGAGCAAAGATTGCTTTCTGGGTTGAATGTGGTATAAGAAACACAAAACTATTTGTCATTTTTTAGGGGGAAGGAAGATACCACACAGTTTTCTCTTTCTCCGAAAGAAAGGTAGAAAGAAAGAAAGAAAGAAAGAAAGAAAGAAAGAAAGAAAGAAAGAAAGAAAGAAAGAAAGAAAGAAAGAAACATATAAACAAGCATTTGCTTTCCTCAACTTCATTTCTAAGAGCTTCATTTCTTTAGCTTTCTAGAGGGAACTAAGGAAAACTAACTGGTGGACAGTTATAGATATCTTCCAGAGACTCTTCCACACAATCTGCCATGAATCACACTTCTCCTCCTACAATTTTAACAGATATTGGGGAAAGACTGTTTTAGATCAAATCAAATAAATATGTATTGCTTTGTTTAGCTTTGCTAATTAATTTTGCTAGAAATATAACACTACTTACCCAACCCAGGACTTGAATGGGTAATGCTTCTGAGTTCCTAAGAGTAACTAAAGATCTGTAGATTTACAGGCGAAGTACATTGGTATCTTCCCTTAAAAGTTATAAAGCAGTAAACTTTATAAGCCCAAGTTCCAGCTATATGACATTTGGATGCCAAATGAATAGGGTTTTGTCTATGAATTAGATCGTAAAATCATCTATAGTTACAGACAGATAGGCTCACTGGCTATAAAAAGTCACGTGGTGCCATTAAAGTAAGTTTTATGGTCCTGGGGAGTTGTCATCCAACATTATATACCACATAACATATAATCACACTGATGCTGGACTTCATTTGACTCTCTTACAGGCTACGTGTGCCTCCTGGTCATTCAAATTGTCAGGGTTTAGGGACAGAAGTATCTCCCCCAAGTTCTCAAATACTCAATGAAAAAAAAGCGCTTAAGGTAAGTTTTGTGCGCAAGTTGCTTAAATTTGTTTTTCCAGTAGAGGACTTGGCTATAGTTTTGCCTTACTCCTTGTTTTCATTCCTCACCATATTTTGAAATAGTCCAATAACCTCTTCAAGGTGCTGCTTTAAAGACAAGGTGATTTGTCCAGTCTGCCCCAAATCCTATATAATTTGAATTTTTCTGCAGTTGAGCTGATACATATAAGAACAACAAATTTTATTGTCATAATCCAGAATCAAACATTAGAGTCTTAAAGCGGGAGGAAAAAAAGCAGATTAAGAGTCTTTGGCAGAGATGGATTTTGAGGCCCAACTTATGTTGGCTAAAGCAAATGATAATGACTTCCCTTTGCTCCATGAAGGGTTTTTGTTTGTTTATCAGTTTTATTTATGGGAAGGAGAGTCCGCAGGCCAATTTAAAAGAGGAAGAATTGGGGGTTGGGGGTGATGGTTTTGGCTATAAACTTGTTGGAAGGGTCAACAACCCCATTGTTATTGGAATGTCTGGAATATTTTCATCTAGATGAAATATTTACATATAACAATAAAGGTGTTCTAGTTGATTTTAAATATTGGATTCTTTGGGTCTTTTCTGCCTTCCAGAATTAATCACACTTGCACCCTGTATGCTGTACCGAAGTTGTTGTATTATATGTGATCTTAATATTTGTACACTGTATACACAGCACATGTTATATATTGTCACTCCAAACATGCATTCTTTTTTTTTTTTTAACCTTCCTCCTGCTCCTCCTGTTCTTCTTTCCAATGTGAGGAAATCCATCACAACTTTAGATTCTGCATACCATTATATCCCTGGAAATTACTGGAGACTGTCTAAGTTTATAGGACATAATAAACAAGCCCATTTATGTAGCTAGCTACCTTTCTCCTTTCTTCTGTTCTCTTTATTTTACTGGCTGGCAATTGTTGGGGTAGGCCCCCAGCTGCCTGTTTATTTCAACATCCTTTTTTATTTAAGCAGACACTTCTCACTAGAGTGTGATTATTCAGCAATAAAGTTTATGGCCGGATTTAGATCTAAATCTTTAAATTTCCAGGGTTGAAAGAAAGCACGAAATAACATTGTTTTTTTTTTTTAAACTTTCCCGTGCCTGCCTGCCTGCCTGCTTTCTGCAGTACCATTCAATCAGAACCTAACATATTGTTACTCCTAAAACTTTAGGAAAGCAACTGCTGGGGACACAGTAGCAATTTTATATACAAAATAAAATGAATGGTTTTGCAAGTGAAAAAGAATTTAGTGGATTTAAAGAGAAGAAGCTAGAGGATATCTACCTTATGAATCAGAGGGTTTCAGCCTAAGAATTACCTGATGTTCCTTTCCTAAACTCTTGCTAATAATAATTCAACTGTTGGTCAATGTATATGTCACACTAGACTATTAAAGTTTATTTCAATTAAATGTCAAATGAGGCTTTACTTCTCTATGTCTTAATTTCTTTCTGCACATTATACAGAATTAAATGCCATTTGCATCCGTCTTAAAATCTCAGTGGTATCTGGCAATATAATTGAATGTTACCCTGTTCTGGTTGCTATTTAGAAAGAGACAAATTTTGTGGAGGCACGAATAAATATTTGAAGATCTGGAAATTTCTATGATTTTTAAGTTGACTCTCATTATGAATATACGCATTCAGAGTCATTTACATTGTGCGTGCATGTATGTGATCTCTCTTTACACTTATATGAACTAGAATTAGTGGCATAAAATGTATTGACATTTGTCTCTCCCTTCTCATTCCATGTTATGCAGGGATTTTTTCTCCGCCATAGTTAGCGTAGTTAAGATGTGCTGAATTTTCAACAATCTTTAGCAAGATTTACCTTTGTGCTTTTAAGCCATAATGCATTATTTACTTCAGCTTAAATGTGCTGTGTTAAAGTTTTGCTGAGGTTCCCTGTTTTTAAATACATGGAAGAAATGATGTTTAAGCCAGCTGTGGCCAGGGGAGAGTAGCCCGATTTTTTTAACCTTGGTTTGTTTTTTTCTAATTGCTATGTTTACTCTCGCCACAGGCGAGGAAGGAAATCCTTCTACAGTGAGATCTTTAGAACCAAATGTAGTAGTTATCCTTAAGATTATTTACAATTAAGGAACATAATTCTGTGATTTAGAGGCTAAATGCTGTTTATGTTCTTTCTTATTAATGCTCCTTTTTGTATAACTAGTTATCTCCTGAACTAACAACCACTCAGCCAGTGCTCAGTGGAAAGATGGCTGAATTAACAGATTGATTTCACAGACAGAGGAGGGAAAGACATATAATTCTATCAAAGTTCTCTATAAATAAGTGACCCTATGCATTTCTACTTAACAGTACATACTCCTGAATTTAATGAGATTTACTTCCATGTTATTGTGCAAACTAGCATCCAGATCACAATAAATAAAATAAAATTATACTAGCCATCTAACTCTAAGGGGAGGATCACAACATTTGCGGGAACAGAAAACATTTTCCCCTCAAAATGATTTTATTTTAGTCTATCTTTCTATCATTTCATACCAGAGCAGCAAGTTGAATAAATAGGCCAAAATGTACTCACCTGCTCAAAAACACTCATTGCTCCAAAATAGAATGCTGTAAACCAAAGTTTTAAAATTAAAAAGCGTATTTGCATAAATGATGATAACACCATTACTTTTTATTTTCTTATGGTAAGAATAATACTTTATTTTCCTTCAGTTCCTTATGGATGTTAGAAAGTTCAATTTTATCAGCTCAAATCAGTGTTTTTTGACTTCAGCAAGGTAACTATGGTGCTTCCCTGTGCTGAAAGTACAAAGATAACTTTTGAAATTCACATGATATTGGATTAGCATGCAACTTCTGTTCAAAGCCTTCTGGCAAAATTATAAGCTCCATTACGCAAGTGAAAGAAATACTGCTATTTTCTACTGTTTCTATTGAACAGTTTAATACTGAGATTAGCAATCACAGCTCCTGCATCAGATTTTCTTACTTGTCTTCTTCCTTACTTCTAACTTCCCTTTCCCTTGAAAGAACAAGACTGT